AGCCTCCCGCCGGGAGCTGCCCCCGGTCCCCCAGCTCCCCGGGAGCTGCCCCCCAGCCCGGCCCAGCCCAGCCCGGCCCGGCCCCCGGGCACCTCCTCCCGCACCCCTGGGCAGCAGCTCCGGGCCGTCCCCAGGCACCCGCGTGGCCTCGTTTCAGCAACAACCTCTCAGCGTGTGCTTCGAGGGGACGTGATAAATCCTGCTCGGTGATTGCCGGGCGAACTTAAAACCTTCTCTTATTTTTTTAATATTTGACTTGTAGTGACTTCAGAGACCGGACGGAAGGCGCAGCGCACCTGAACACTCACTGCAGGTAAAACCCCCAGGCCAGCGAGGGTTTGCTGTCCCGTTGCGTCTTCTTCCTTTGCCTTCTGTGCAGTGTGGCTGCAGCGGTGCCGGCGGAGCTGGAAGCAGACCTGGCTTGTGCTCCCAGAGCCTTCCTGCCTGCACTCCTGTACCTGGTTGCTGAGCTCGCACGTAGGCGTGAAGGACACACTTGCCGTGCCACGGTATCTGGGGGTTGGTGGAGGAGCAGTGGCCTTTGGTGCCCCACGCTCGCTGAAGTGGTGCTTTCCTTGGGTTCGGATTGCCATCTCCTGGTTATCATTTCTTTTTTATTTACTTATTTTAAAAATATTGTTATGCATGGTTGCACTCCCTCTGAGAGCCTGGAAGAAAACCCGGCCAAAACGTCGCAGGGGAGTGAGGGGAGACAGACTAAGATACAAGAGTTGTCAATATTCTGAAAACTAAAATAACCCTCCATTTAAATATTTTCATTTTTAATATCAATGACTGAACTGAGTTACTTTTTGATGGGGCCACTGAGGCTGTCCAAGACCTAGGCTGCGTTAGGGATAAGTTCATTCTCTTGGGCTCTTGCTTGTAATACCTGGCTGTTACCAGCTGCATTGGGTGAAAGACATTAATTTACATCTCCATGCTTTAATCCAGTGGAGTAGCATGCTATTTCTCACTCCAAATATAGGAACATCTGTATAGAGGTTAAAAAATGAGTTGCAAAAGCAATTTTGAGTGCATGCAAATTCAACATGTTCCACAGTAGCATATGGAAAAGTGAGGGGAGAGCAACACCAAGCTCAAGTGCAGATAATGAGTCCCTTCTTCGCACCTCACTGAGCCTGGCAAACTTTACCAGGCCAGTAGAAAACAAACAAACAAGAAAGCAATAGAAAAACCCTTATAAATCAGGCTAATAGGAAAATACGAGCGCGGCTTATTGTTTCTGGCAATAACCAAGCCTGATGAAGGCCCCCCGGCTTCTTACTGAAATAGCTAGCCAGGGTTGTGATGCCTGTGAAGAAGCATTTGCTCAGCAAGGAAACAGCTGTCAGCTCCATGCTGGTTTTTCCTGCCTGGAAAGAGGCATCAGCACAGTGCGATGCAGGCGATGCTTCGCAGTACTAGTAAACACGTAGGATGTTTATCAGATATTGCGTGTACCGACGTGACACGTACCAGCCTAAATCTGACCGCTAAGATAACTGTCTGTGATTACAGTGGAGCTACATTGATTTTGTAAGGTGAGAATGTGGCTGAGAGACAGACCCTGCAGCATGTGCCTCCCTCCTAGTAAATCCTTAAAATAACTCCAGACACCATTTTTTTTTTTCCCCCTCCCCTAAAACTTTTGTATTTTTCCTGAAAGTTGTTCCCATTGCAGAAGTTAGTTGCTTGTAGGAAGCCACATCATACTGAGACTGGTGGAGCACTAATGAGTACCTTTATTTTTCAGCAAACAGGAAGGTCTACACTGCAGCTAATAGCAGTGCCTGTGTGGCATCAGTTCTCCTTACCTGACCAAGTGATTAAGGTTGCCATCAAAAAAAGTGCAAGCAGAAGGAGTCCAAACTGCATTTGCATGAGCAGCCTTAATCCTTGAATATCTGTACTTTCTGAATGCTGTACTTTGCAGCTTGCCCATGCTGGTAATGCTTTTTTCTTAGGCAGGACATACACATGCCACATCATGTATGAACTGAGTGTTGGAAGGCATCATCATCCTCTGACGGTGGGAGCTCCTCTGTTTTTTGTGAATTAGAGATGGAGCCATTTCCACCATTTCTTGCACCATGGCCACCCGTCTTTAGGGAATCAAGCAGTCAAATTCCCTGCAGAATTAAAGCTGTTTCCTAATTTGGGCTATTCTCTGGTGGCAGTGCTTAGCTAAGTGGTCTCTTCCCAGACCTGTAGACTGGGTTTATCCCCAGCCATCTCTTGAGGCGTGTCCTACCTCCTCACTTGGCTCAGTTTGTTACACAACATACACCTTTCTGCTGAGACTCACACAGTTGGTGGTATATGGACTAGAAATTAAAGCTTCAGCAGTAAGTCATTGTTTACATAATGGACACTAGGAAAATAATCTTGCCTCAGTCTCTAACTGCATTACTCAGGAGTGGCTGCAGCTTCCATAATGGGGCAGAAGGAGCAGGGTAAAACGCCACTAGGTGTGTAAGAGCATGGCCTGACTAATGAACAGGGGGGTAGAGAAAGGCCAGTGATGCTGGCAGACCATTAGGCTACCCCTAATACAGCATCCTCTGTGTTCACTCTTTCTTTGGGACTTTCTGTGTCAAACAAGTTCCACCGCCTCCCCACTGCTGTGGCCAGTTAGGCTGGATTCCTGCCCAATCTATTTGCTTTTCTGCTTCATTGCATGGTCTAGCTGATATTCTCCAGTTGGTAGTCCTCTTACAAGAGACTCAACTTCCTAACTCAGCTCTTGATGAGTTATTGCTCATGCCAATTCACCCCAGAAAGTTGAAGCTGGTCAAGTTCATTGTCCTGGTTTGAGCCAGGATGAAGCCA